CATTCCTGTATTTAGTCGCTTGTGAAGGCACCATTTGGTGCCATGTTGAGACGACTCCTATTCCCCTCAGCCTCGACTTGATGCTTAAACTAGTAACCAGACTTTCTCGCACAAACAGTTCGAAACTACCCTATTGAAGAAGTACGTTCTATAGAGATATATTACTTTTTTTCCTCTTTCCTCTTTCTTCGCCACGCAACAGCTCCATTTAACAACTGCGTCAAACTGTTAAGCTAGTTTTTAATTAGAAAAGCAAACAAAGCCATGGTTCTGTTTTCCTTTCGTTCTTTTCTATATTTGACTTGTTAAAAAAATTGAGGGGGAAAGGAAGAAAAGGACACAAGAAAATGGTTTTAATTTGTTTTGCATAAAGCTAGCATCACAGTGTCCGAGATCGTTTTAAATTCAAACACTCCCAACATATGGTCACCATTAATTTAAAGTTTATGATTTAAACCAGCAAGCCAGAGGCTCACAAATGATAATAATTGGCTATTGTTTGTAGAGTAAAATTTGATTTTAAATTGAAATTAACATAAAAAGTTACTGATCACTCCCATATGTGCAAATTACACCCATGTACAAATAACTAATGTCTATCCGCTGGATTCACCAACAAGTAAACGGAGAAAAGACGAGTATTGCTATGAGTTCGTTGCACTATCAGTTGTTTCTTTTCTTCTGCTTCTGTTCTGCTGTTCAGGCTCTATACAGAAAAGGCGATATCATGTTGGGTGGACTTTTCAGCGTGCACCAGCCGCCAGACCAGCCCGGGAGCCGATGTGGAGAGATATATTTGAGAGGACTTGGTCGCATGCAGGCTATGATCTTCGCAATCGAACGAATAAACAATGGCACAAGTCTTCTTTCGTACATTTTCCTAGGATATGACATAAGGAATAAGTGTGAAAACCCCTCAAAAGCTGCAGGACTCGTTTAAAAAACTTCTGACCGTTGTTTCTTGTGTCAACTTAAGCCAAAATGCCCCAAGAAAAAAAGCCATCATTTATTTAATAGCCCCAGACGAATATAGCACAGCGCTAATTATCGGTGGATACTTCGGATGCTCAATGTTTCGAGCATAAGTGGAAAAACAACCAGTACGAAGCTCAGCTCTTTTACCTATAAACATTTATGTCGAACGGTGCCATCGGACAAGTTTCTTGCAAAAGCGATGGTTGACTTGATTACACACTTCAATTGGGGCTATGTTGCTGTCGTTGGACTAGATGATTCGTATGGAAGAAGTGGAGCATGGGCAGTCGCTAGCGAAAGTACGTCAAAAAAGGCACGTTCTGTATTGCTTTGACGGAGTTTATACGCCTCGAAAGTCCGCATCTGAGTATTCCAAACATAGTTAGAAAGCTTAAACAGATCGACAATGTCAAAGTTGTGATCTTATGGTTATACAAAAATTACCAAACGAAGTTTTTCGCAGAGGTTCAGAGGCAAAACCTAACTGGACGTGTGTGGATTTTGAGCGAGGCTGATTTAATTTCCACACTGCCAGTGAAAGGTATTCTCGATAGCTCTTTAAGATTTCAATTGTATGAATTCAGCGACCCTGACTTCAAGGAATATTTAAAAGATATATTGGTCAGGGAGAGAAACAATGGTACTTTTCCTGAATGGAACTACAGTGCAAGCGAAATATGGAAGCTTTTGAAGAACAAGAAATGCGTTCATCACCGAATTGAGCAGTGCTCTAACGACTTTATTAAAGATATCTATAGTTCCTTTATTTCATACACTCTCGACGCCGTATATGCAATGGCACATGCAACAGATATATCAACTGGAAATTTTACCTCAAGCAATACAAGTAATCGGGACAAATCGCCTTTCACAAATAGATTGGGGATGCAGACGCACCCTTAGAGAGTCAGTTTTGACGGACTAACAGGAAAGATCAAGTTCGATCAATTTGGTGACAGAGGCTCGGCGCATTATGACATTTTCAGCTTTAAAGAAGGACCTGTGGGAGATATTAAGAGCGTTGAAAAGGTGCTGGTAGGAGAGTGGGTAATTTCAAATGAAAGTAAAATAAAGTTAGATTTTCATGGAGACCTTCATTGGACGACTCCATCTGGTCGCCCTCCGAAATCTGAATGCTCGGAATGGTGTCCTCCTGGAACAAGGAGATCTTCTACCTCACCTTGTTGTTGGCAGTGCCTTTCGTGTCTTGGTGGCCCATCAGCTCATTTGCTGGTTCTGAAAGGTGCAATGAATCCCCATCGGAACAAGGCAGGTTATGTGACTGTCACTGGCAACTCTATCATCCTTTAAAATGTAGAACATCACTTTTTCAACGTAGTTATTTCCACAGAACGGTTAAATTGTGGGATTCTTTGTCTTCGTCATTAAGAACCTTACCTAGCGTTAATACTTTTAAAGCAGCTTTAGTTAAATATTATAAAAAAGCACTTATTGAAAAGTTTGATCAGAATAATGTTTATACCTGGAAATCATTGTGTCCTAAGTGCTTTTCCATTAGGAATTTAAGCAGCTTTCGTCAGTGTTATTTTTAGTAGATATTAATAATTATTAATCTTTAAACAAGAATTGATATATATTTTTTACATGTAAATTCTTATATTATATACATATATTTTGATATTTTAGTGAATTATCTATTTTATTTATATTTTGCTTAAATTCTCCCCTACCATTATTTTTATTGGGCTTTCACCTAGTTGGATCTTGCTCTATCGTGACTGTCCCTCACCGAGTTTTTCTCTTCACTGTTGTTATTTTCGGTTTTTTTTCTTCTTCTTCTTTTACCAATTTACATTAACTGTCATCTAACTGTTTTTTTATCATATTTATATGTTATGTACTCAGTGAAAGTCGAATAAATAAATAAAGGAGTATATGGAATGTCCCTTCTAAAATTTAGCAGCCGCATTCATATTTAGCGACCCTATAAAAAACCCAACCAAAACAAAATGCTCGTAAAATCTGAATATTTGCGCACATCTTCACAAGGAGTTTGCTTTCGCTAGTGAGTCCTATTGCCTGAATAGGCTCAGTGTTCATCTCTTTTGGGTGCATTAGATGCATTTATGCTAGAGACGTTAAAGTTGTCTCGAGACGACTTTAACGCCAAGTATAAAAACGGTAAATTTTTATACTTGACGTTAAAGTCGTCTCGAGACGGCTTTAACGTCTTAGACAACTTTAACGTCTCTAGCATAAAAACGGCCATTATTTGCATCGATAACTTCATGCTGTTTTCAGCTCGGTGAATCAAACCGTTGCAAATGTCAAGTTTGTAAATTTGAGAATCAAGGTTCAGATTTTTTTTTCAATCTAAATTTTTTTATCGTGAAATAGGTTGTGGCTTGTCATCGTGGTACAGAACACTTTCACAAGAGAAATGTAATAATTTTGCTCATGTAAATGGCGTAAATAAACATCAGTGACACTGTTTTTCTTGTCCTTACTACATCTGTGAATCAAATACTGAACGCACGACAAAATGAAATCAATGTGTTTAGTTTTCTAATATTTTCATCACTAAGTTTCAAAAGAGTTCTGTAATATTTTGATCTTGAATGTTAACACAGCGGAAAAGGAAAAACTTTCCAACACCAGTTTCCACCCAGTCTCCTTCGTAGCACTAGCTGTCCCTGAGTATGTCACGCAATCCTTTCCCCCTTCCCTCCCCCCCCCCCGCTTTACACCCTAACATCGGTATGGAAGTCCTCTATACTCTTCTCTACATATTTCCTAAGATAAAGACATTGGGAATTCTTTTAACAATCAGAGCGTCGTAGGTTGGATATCATTTCCTTTCTCCTCATGATCTTAATAGATGGAATTACTCTGGGTACAATGAAAAGTTAGAAGTGGGTTTTCTGTTTAACTAAACGAACATTTTAAAATGTCAACCTATCATCTCGACAGCTTGTACTGTTTTATAATAACTATCAAAGGCAGAGAATTCTTTCCTTTACTTTCCAAGAGTCTTGTTTCCTATTCGAGTATTGAAACCCTGACGCGACAATTCAGGATGTTAATAAACGCACATTGTAAAACGATGATTGGAATCGCCGTGATAGGGGATCCATTTTGGCAGCGTTGGCGCAATCGTTTTAAGCATGGTCACATGACTATAGCGTGTTGAGGATCCTTTGTGTTACCTAGCAACCTCCTTGAAGAACATTGATAGATAAGGTTTAGCCTGTGACAATAATCTTATCACCTGAAAGTTCATCCCCCTGATGTTGAGTGGGTGTCCTGTGTCACTGTGCTTGATTAAGGTGTAGTGTCATCTTACGTCCGCTATCTGAAAAAACGAACTCTTTTGCCGCCTTGTTAAAACTGTACGCGTTGTCTTTAGCGTCGCCTCAAGGAATTTACCGCACTCTTCATTACTAGTAAATTTCCCGGACAGAAGCCAATTTTTTAATTGCTTCCCTCAGAAAAAAAACCTTTATACTCCTCATTTATTTCCAAAAATCTCAAATGACGCGGCATCTCATGCTTATCTTTCGGTGCCTGTCTTTGCTCCCTTTGTGCGGTGTGTGTGTCATGGACATGGTTCATTGTAAGTAAAGAAACACACACCTACTATCATTAATTAATTACTCTAAATTCTTCTTCAGCATAAATTACGCAAATAATTATTGAACCATGAACATATATTGGCGTGTGCACACTCGTTCTCTATTCCAATTGCCATCCCAACCCCCCTTAAACAAAAATGAAAGAGAAATAGATTTGATAATTTGATTATAGGCTTAAACATATTTCAGCGACTGTTAAGAAATATATATCTTGGTGAACTGTCGTAACCGGCGTTTCTATTTCAATAAGATGTAAGTGATGTGTCAACCAGCGTGTGTCATTTTCACAGACGAATTAAAACGTTCTTCTTTACTGTGATTGGTTCACAGCGAAAACATTATCATAACAAGCTTTTGATTCCAAGAATAGAGAGAAGTCGATTTCTTAGAAATCGTCTAGCTTTGCTCGCTCGCCTTTGCCGGACGGCTAACATGGACATCAAAACGTTGTTCCATAATCTTCGAGAAGAAGTATCTTGTCCAGTGTGTACCAGCATATTCACGGATCCAAAACAACTCCCATGTCTCCACAGCTTTTGTCTGCATTGCTTGAATCAGAGGCACAGAACAAGCCGTGGCCGAGACACAATCAGATGCCCGAAGTGCCAAGCACTTAGCAGAGTGCCTGAAAGTGGTGATTTAAAAGATCTTCCAACCGGTTTTTATCTTAACGGCCTCATTGATGTGTTGGCAATAAGAGAATGTAAAACCAACCAAGTAAAATGCGGAAATTGCGACAAGAACAGCTCAGAAAGTTCCTATTGTTTCCATTGCTGTGCATTTTATTGCCAAAAGTGCGTAATTGCGCACAACATCATGAAAAACTACAAAGATCACCGTGTCCTGGCGCTCCATGACTTTAAAGACAAGGATTATAAGGATGTAATGAAACGACCGGCCCATTGTCCTAAGGAAGATCACAACAGAGAAGAACTGAAGTACTTTTGCAAGACTTGCGAAATACCAGTTTGCCAAATTTGTGTCATATTGGACCACGGTGGCCATAATATGAAATTAATCAAGGAAGAGGCAGAAATACAGAAGAGTGCGATAAAGTCGTTGGTTGAAAAGCAGAGACGTAATTTGCAAGCGAAGATGAAAACCGTCAATCAACTTGATGAAGAGTTCGCCAAACTGATGCAACAAGGCGAAGACGTGAAGAGAGATGTTCAAAGACTTGTTGACAATCTCGTGGCCGTTATTGAGGCGAAAAAGCAGAATATACTTTCATCGTTGGAGAAAGAAACGAGCAGATCGCTTGATCTTGTAACGGAGCGAAAAACCAAAATTCAACGACAAATAAGGGCCATAGAATCTGCGCTGGAAAACGCTGATGAGCTTTTAACTCGTAGAAGTAACGCTGAAATCGTTCAACTTAAGAAATCATTAGACGGCATTTTTGATGGGGTTCCTCAAATCGAGCCAATTAACCGTGACACCAAAAGCTTCCCGGCTGGTTTCGTTTTCGAGGAAAATCCAAAACTGTCGGAGACTGTTGAAAGTGTTGAAATTGGAACTTTACAAATCTTGCAACTCACCAAGCTTAAGGCACGTCATTTTTTTTGCGAAGGCAAAGGAATTGAAGAAGGAATTGTAAACCGCGAAGCACAATTTATTTTGACCTCAAGGAACGGTAGTGGAAAACAGTGTTACAATGAACGTGATCATGTCACGGTGGAGATCAGAGATGAACGAGGACAAAAATGCGCGACGGAAGTAGGAATAAATAGCTGTGGAGATGGACTCTACCAGCTCAAGTATACTCCAAAAGATCAAGGAAGGTGTAAAGTGAGTGTTAAGGTTAATGGGAAACATATTGATAGAAGTCCTTTTACTGTACTCGTAAAACCATTTCAATTCAAACCTGTTTTAACATTCGGTGTAGAAGGTTCGGCTTTAGCAATGTTTGACCATCCTTTTGGGGTGGCAGCAAATGCTAGGGATGAGATAGCCGTAGCTGATTTATCCAATCACAGAATTCAAATCTTTAACAGTGACGGAAGTTACATAAGATCCTTTGGTCGTCACGGTAGCAAAGCGGGAGAATTTCAAAGTCCGAAAGGAATAGCATTTAATAATAATGGAAATATTTTCGTCTCGGATTTTTGGCATCGAATTCAGATTTTCGATGGGAGGGATAAGTACATGGGAAGCTTTGGTGGGATTGGTAGCCTTGATAAACACCTGAATGATCCTTGGGGTCTATCTGTAGACAGTGACGGTAATGTGATTGTTGCTGATAGGGGAAACAGCTTAATCAAAATCTTTTCTCCCGATGGAAATTTCCTTATGAAAATAGGTGGGCAGGGCTCTTTGAAATCTCCTAAGCACTGTATTCAGTATGATAGATATCTCATAGTGTCAGACAGTAGTGAACATTGTATCAAAGTGTTTGACAGGAATGGAAACTTTCAATACATGTTTGGAAAGAAGGGGGGAGGGGATGGGGAGTTTGATGCTCCATCTTGTATAGCAGTGAATAAATCAGGACACCTGATGGTCTGTGATGAATTTAATCATAGAGTACAAGTATTTGAACTAAATGGTAAGTTTATTGGCAAGTTTGGAACAAAGGGGAGCAATTTAGGAAAGTTAAAAAATCCTGCGTCCCTTGCAATTTTAAGGAATGGCCGAATTGCTGTATGTGAATGGAATAACCATCGTATTCAGTTATTTGAATGAGAGAAACATCAATATCAGGTCAGGAGCAATAAGCCTATAGTGACAGAAAACTGTTTGCATGCCAGTTTAAATTGTCGGTCAAAAGTCAGACATGTGCAAGTGGACTAATTTTTTCCAGCTGCACACTAATTCCCCGTTAGATGAAAACAGAAGAAATGATGGGATTCATGTTAAATGAAAAAAAAAAGTTTGATACAGTTAAAGAAATCTGCCAATAGAAACTTGAGTAAGGAAAAGTAGACTTAGGAAATGTGTTAAAGGAAACAAAATGGGAAAACTTGGGTTTTTTTTTCTTTCTCAAAGAGTATTCAATTATTAGTACTTTTGTCAATGTACCAAAATGTTACAAAGTTTTAATATATGGTGGCTTTTTTTGTATGTACAAAATGAACAGAAAAATTGTATTATGCTGCATATTCCTAACCTAATTGACTCTACAATTATAACTGGACTTGATCCTGCTGACTGACCAATAAGTCTTAATACATCCTATTGCATCTGTTGCAATCCTCTCCACTCTCTGCTGCCACAATGGTCAGCAAGCAAACCTATTGGGTCTTTTTGAGCGAGAATTTTCAATTTTTACACTGTCTTTATTTCACAAATAGGATACCAATAACTGTAGAACGAGACAAATGGTCAGTCTGCAAAATCAAGTCGCCTGAAAGCGAAATGTTGGGCCGCAATTTTATCTGCTTCACAGACATGTAGACATTTGTTTACTGAGTTGGCCGGTTTACATTGCAGACTTTCTCTAATCATATAGCTTACCCCTCCAATCCTCTTCATAACACATGCAGCCAACATATGCGTCGTGCCTTTTCCCAACTGGTTCCCTTGCTACACACATTATGAAGAAGACTGGGCACAAGTAAAATTATCTATAGTTGACTGGCGACAGATATCAACTATGACACCAATTCTGTCAGAGATGACACTTAATAAATCTCATGCCCACTGACCACGGGTCTGAGGGAGGGGGAGTAATAAGGGGGTCCAAAAAATAGAGTCTAAATAAGCTAGGAAGTATTTCAAGATATACATTTTTCATACATTCAAGCCAAATAGTTCTATGCGATCCCAATGTTGGAATAATTTTGGTTTCAGACAAGTATTGAAAATACTGATAGGTCTGATGAACTTGGGGGCGGGGGTTCAGACCTCTTGGGCCCTCCCCCAGTGTTTGTTACTGCTTTCTTATGATTGGGGTAAGAAAAACAAAGTTTCAAAAGATTTCTTGTGACATTGAAGAGCAGTCTTTTAAGGGTTGCGTCAAATTTACTCCAAAAATATTTTGCATTTAATTAGATGAAGGGCATCATAGAGCTAGACTTTGATGCAGATAAGGAAACCTTAAGTTCTATGTTCAGTACTTACAAAACTGGTGGTTGATAATAGTTATTTAGGGAAAAATTTGTCCTTATTTTCTCTTGAAGTTAACCAGTACAATTTGATAAGTTGCTAGTTCAGAAGAAAGCTACTGATGTCAAGTGAAACAGAACTTATGCAGAAGTGTTATCTTTGTTCTATGCTAATTATATGTAAATCTTGGTAATTGATATGGTATATTTGTTTGTTATAGGTGCTTCAGCACAAACTTGTAATCAAGCTCATCTGTACATGATTAGATTAGTCTAATAGCAACATATATCTTGTTTAACACTAAATTCACTGTACTTGATATCAGCAATAGATTTCTATATTTTCATAGATATTAGAACAATTTTAATTCAGTGTCAGAAGTAACACTAGATTGTGTTGTTTCTGCTTTACCTCTCATTGTGATTGTTCTAGGAAAATCATGCCACTCAACCAATCAGTTGCTAAACTAAAACAAGTCACAACTTGGTTGCCTGTGCTTTCCTGCACCTTAGGTAGTTTGGTTGTTTTTACTTTGAGTTCTCATTGGCTCTCAAAGGTATTTTCCTGTCTTCTGATTGGCTGTTTTAATTACTTTGGTTTTTGTTTCATGACACTCAACTAAAAAGTGCTTAGGTAGTTGAGTTGGGAGACTAACATTTGAAAATGACGTCATACTTGATAAGTAGTAATAATATTATATTGTACTTTCATACCATTAATTTTGATTACAATACCATTGAGGCTGTTCTCAGGTTATTGTAGCTTTTTTAAAGTCTCCGAAAATTGTTCCATAACCAGTGAGTGTCCACCCCAGCCTCACTGCACAATGAGGTCATTGAGCACAGAGCAACCTCAATTGGCAGGTGAACTAGAAATATTTCAGTGAGGTACTGCTTTAGCATGGAAAAAAAGGGAGAAATCCGTTAATCTACATTTAAGAGTTGGTTGTTCTTATTTAAAAAGGAAAGACCTGTGGAACAGATTACTGTTGCAATAGACAACAGAAATGGTGATGGGTTAGCTTGTTACTGCTTACTAATTTTAGTCATTGCCTGTATGACCTTGTGCAGAGGGGGGAGGGGAAAGGACCAGTCTTAAGTTTGATTGACCAACAGTGTTCTTGGAAGGTCACCTCTCGCTGCCTGAATGGTTTCATCTCAAAACTTGGTGGTAGCCTGCACCCTAAAAAGTTGGTAGCCTGAGGCATCAATAATCTCCAGTGCACAGCCTTGTTTGTATAGCTTAAGTGTGTTAAGTGTGTTAAGTGTGCAGGTGAACTAGAGATATTTCAGTGAGGTATTGCTTTAATTTAGCACGAAAAAGAAGGGAGAAATTGATTTATTTACATTTAAGAGTCAACTGTTCTTAATTAAAAAGGATAGACCTGTGGAAGAGATTATGGTTGCAATGGGCAACAGCATTGGTGATAAGGGCAGCTTTTTACTGCTCACCAGTTTCAGTCATTGCCTGTATGACCTTCTTGTGTGGAGTGGGAAGGGGTAAGGACCAGTCTTAAGTTTTGTAGACCAAAAGTGCTCTTGGAAGGATCTCTGGTTGCCTAAATGGTTTGATCTCAAAACTTGGTGGTAGCTAGCCTACTCCTTAAAGGGTTGTTGGCCTGTGGCAGCTGAACTCTTCCAAAGCACAGCTTTGATTGTGCAGTACTATTGTAAAGTGTATCTCCATACATCTATTTTAATCAAAGTATCTTTCAGCTTTTGAATAAAGTAGTTGAAATGATCAAATGTGCATCATTTAGTTTATAACAATATTGCTTGATGTTAAGTTTTGATTGATCAGTGCAGAAAAGTCCTATTGTTTCCTTTTTCTTTCTTTCCCTCCCAGTCTTCTTATCCTCTCCTTGAACCCTAAACTAATCACAGTTTTTCCCAAATGAATATGTGTGAGGAATGGGGAGGACTTGCCTTTGAAAATGACAGCTGTAGTCTTCAAATTTATTTACTCAATTAAAAAAAACCTAAGGTTTTCTAATCTAAAATCAACTTCTGTGCAAATATTCAGATTTTACAAGCGTTTTGTTGCGTTGCTAAGTATGAATGCAGCTGTTCAGGTCCAGAGGGTACATCCCATATACTCCTTTTGGAGTCACTAGAAAAGCACAGTGTATATGGGATGTACCCTCTAGACTTGAACAGTTGCATTAAATGATGCAACCAAAATAAAACGCTTGTAAAATGTAAATATTTGCACACATATTCACCAGGAGTTTGCATTTGCTTGTGTGTACCATCTTCAGAATAGGCTCTGTGTTCATCTCTCTCGGGTGCATTGATAACTTTAATGCTGATTTAAGTTTGGTGAATTAAACCATTGCAAATGTTAAGTTTGTAAATCTGAGAAATAAGGTTCAGATTTGTTTACAATATACCCTTATTTTTATTCTGAAATAGGGTGTGGCTTGTCATCACGGTAAATAACACTTTCACAAGAGAAATAGTTATCTCGTGTAAATGAACATCAGTGAAATTTGTTCTTACTACATCTGAATCAAGCACTGAATGCATGACAACATAAAATCAATGTGTTAAGTTTTCTAATATTTTCATTGCCAAGTTTCAAAATTGTTCTGTAGTATTTTGATCTTGAATGTTAACACAGTGGAAAAGAAACAACTTTTCAAGACCAGTTTCCACCCAGTCTCCTTCACAGTGCAAACACCCCCCACCCAAACATATGCATGGTCACTTGACCATGGCATGTTGATGATCCATCGTGTTACCTAGTAATCTCTTTGATGAACGTCGTGAGCTAGGGTTCAGCCCGTGATAATAATCTTATTGCCTTGAAGTTCATCCCTCTGATGTAGAGTGGGTGTCCTGTGCCACTGTGCTTGATAAAGGGTGTCCCTTTTGTTGTAGTTGACCACAGTGACACCAGCATCATCTCAGGTCTGGTATTTGACAAAAAAATATGATACACACACAAAATAGGTTTAATCACAAAACTGAGAAAAAAGGCTGGACAAATAAGACTAGTTATTTACACAGTACTTGACTTAAAGGTATGAAACAATTGATGAGTCTCAAGGTTTCTTTGTGTGAGGGTTGTATGAACAAAGTAATTTTTTTCAGTGCTGAAATCATTTGACTATAAAGCAGAGATGTTTTTTGTCTCTCTACAAGCGTGATACAAAGAAAAAAGTCTCATTCCCCTTAAGGAATCAAACCTCTGACCCTCAGATTGGTTTAGAAGGCAGATTTGTTAACAGTTGCTCTAATAATGGTTGCTCCACTCTTCAGTAATGCCTGATAAAATGCAGAAAGTGATATCGGTCAAAAAGTAGCTTTCAATCCCAAGATCTGATTGTTTATTCTCCCCTCTAACTGCCAGACATTTCCTTGTAAATTAGTTATGAGAACTTGGGACTAGAATCAAGATAGCAGCTCCTACCTGATAAGTTTGAAATTATAATGAATAATATATGGATATTATAGGGAGAAGTTTCATGCTAATCACCTCTAGGAGTTAAAGGGTTAAGTGTTTTCAAGTGTCTGTTCTGTTTTCATCTCGAACAAAACAAACCAAATTTTTGTACCCAATTAGTGTTATGTTATTATTTGTTATGCTCAAACAAAACTAACCACAATGGCCAGATAAAAATAGAATAACAGCATTATAAGCCAATGGGAATTCACAGGAAAAACAACTAAACTGCTGAAAGGGTAGGAAAAGTAAATGACCAAGTTTGGTTTACATCTGATTGGCTAAGAGGGTGGAACAAATTTTCTAGA